TATATGTATGTATGTATATAGGATTCTAGAAGCACACCTTAAAACACACTAGGGAGAAACCTAAAAACTAATGCAAATGTTACCTGGTCTGAGGTTGCAGAAGAATGGCATTTTAATGAATGCCCTCAGAGGCTGTGAACTCTGAGCTCACTCATTTCCTATTGGATTTCCGACATGGGTTGGGATTTCCCCACACGCCTATTGGATTTTCCCCACGTGCCTGAGATTCAGAGAAATGGAGGTCGTGAGTATTGACGCCAGAGAGACTATTTTCAATAAAGAGAGGCAGGCAAGGGGCTAGGCGTCAAGTAACTGGGACAACAACCAGGAATCCGTGAGTGTGGAGAACAAAGCAGCAGCAAGACGAACAGGTGTAGGGAGACACGGGTGCCAGGACAGGAGAATGGGACAGTCGGGTGTAGAACCCAGTAGAAAGCTAACATAGGAGTGAGAGGCAAGTGTGAGTGTGGGGACAGACATGGAGTGAGGGTGGAGGTGGAAGATTCTGGTGGGCTTGGTGAAGCTGCCCACTCTGCGTCACTGGTTAGCTTTCGGCTTAGGGCCTGCAAGCACCTGCCAGTCCCACACATTCAAGGCATCAGCCAGGGACTGAGTTCCCTCAGCCTCTTGGGTGTTCTGATGATGCTCTTTGCTGCCACTCGAGACTAAGGGAGAGTTTTGCTCCTTTGTGCAGTCATCCACAGCGAAGAATCTGAAGCGCTCACCCATGAAGACGAGCCCCCAGAAGCCTCCACTTCAACCGCGGGAGGTGAGCCTGGTAAGGAAGGGCCGGCAAGGCTTGGGCGGCGGGAGTCAGAATGCAGAGTCATGTTTCCCTAAGTGTTGGATTCTGGTCTATTGTCTACGATGGTTCCAGCCTATGCTGGGAATCCCATCATCTGCATTCATGCTACTCGACTCTTTTAGGAAATGCAGGGAATGAAAATTGCAAGAATTTATTCTTGAGGATTGGACCATGCTTTGGATGTATGTAGGGATAGGATAGCAAAATGATGCATTTGTCTTTAAGGTTCATTTCTATGTCTACAAGGTTTTGGATATATGCAGTGGTGTCTATGGAGGACAGAAAGCTAATATTCCCTGTGGGAAGGTCACATTGTCACCTGATCCAAAGCTTTGAACAGTGGCAGAAGAGAACTCACCAGCCAGCGGGTGGGAGCAGCAGTAGACAGCTCAAGCTCTCTGGACCCCAAGTTTTGTTTTTGACAGTTCTCCCGTGAGTCATGGCGTATACAGTGATTTGTCAAGAGATTTGCATAAATAATAGTTCCTTTTTCTCTTTGCACCAATTTTGGATGATAAGAGGCACGGACATTATCATCTTTATTTCCAAATGATAAAACCCAATCACGTAAGTGTCAGGCGGTCTTCCCTCACAGTTGCATAAGGGAGTAAAGACAAGGCTAGCGTCTCGGATTCTGTGTTTATTTGCTTTGCAAAACGAGCAACAGAAACGCTTGTGAGAATGTTGAGTTATCTCAGTCCTGTCTACAGCATGCGTTGGTGCCAGTTTTGTAATTTCTTAGATATTTTTGTGTTATGTCCATATAGCACATACATACATATATATGTATGTATGTATATAGGATTCTAGAAGCACACCTTAAAACACACTAGGGAGAAACCTAAAAACTAATGCAAATGTTACCTGGTCTGAGGTTGCAGAAGAATGGCATTTTAATGAATGCCCTCAGAGGCTGTGAACTCTGAGCTCACTCATTTCCTATTGGATTTCCGACATGGGTTGGGATTTCCCCACACGCCTATTGGATTTTCCCCACGTGCCTGAGATTCAGAGAAATGGAGGTCGTGAGTATTGACGCCAGAGAGACTATTTTCAATAAAGAGAGGCAGGCAAGGGGCTAGGCGTCAAGTAACTGGGACAACAACCAGGAATCCGTGAGTGTGGAGAACAAAGCAGCAGCAAGACGAACAGGTGTAGGGAGACACGGGTGCCAGGACAGGAGAATGGGACAGTCGGGTGTAGAACCCAGTAGAAAGCTAACATAGGAGTGAGAGGCAAGTGTGAGTGTGGGGACAGACATGGAGTGAGGGTGGAGGTGGAAGATTCTGGTGGGCTTGGTGAAGCTGCCCACTCTGCGTCACTGGTTAGCTTTCGGCTTAGGGCCTGCAAGCACCTGCCAGTCCCACACATTCAAGGCATCAGCCAGGGACTGAGTTCCCTCAGCCTCTTGGGTGTTCTGATGATGCTCTTTGCTGCCACTCGAGACTAAGGGAGAGTTTTGCTCCTTTGTGCAGTCATCCACAGCGAAGAATCTGAAGCGCTCACCCATGAAGACGAGCCCCCAGAAGCCTCCACTTCAACCGCGGGAGGTGAGCCTGGTAAGGAAGGGCCGGCAAGGCTTGGGCGGCGGGAGTCAGAATGCAGAGTCATGTTTCCCTAAGTGTTGGATTCTGGTCTATTGTCTACGATGGTTCCAGCCTATGCTGGGAATCCCATCATCTGCATTCATGCTACTCGACTCTTTTAGGAAATGCAGGGAATGAAAATTGCAAGAATTTATTCTTGAGGATTGGACCATGCTTTGGATGTATGTAGGGATAGGATAGCAAAATGATGCATTTGTCTTTAAGGTTCATTTCTATGTCTACAAGGTTTTGGATATATGCAGTGGTGTCTATGGAGGACAGAAAGCTAATATTCCCTGTGGGAAGGTCACATTGTCACCTGATCCAAAGCTTTGAACAGTGGCAGAAGAGAACTCACCAGCCAGCGGGTGGGAGCAGCAGTAGACAGCTCAAGCTCTCTGGACCCCAAGTTTTGTTTTTGACAGTTCTCCCGTGAGTCATGGCGTATACAGTGATTTGTCAAGAGATTTGCATAAATAATAGTTCCTTTTTCTCTTTGCACCAATTTTGGATGATAAGAGGCACGGACATTATCATCTTTATTTCCAAATGATAAAACCCAATCACGTAAGTGTCAGGCGGTCTTCCCTCACAGTTGCATAAGGGAGTAAAGACAAGGCTAGCGTCTCGGATTCTGTGTTTATTTGCTTTGCAAAACGAGCAACAGAAACGCTTGTGAGAATGTTGAGTTATCTCAGTCCTGTCTACAGCATGCGTTGGTGCCAGTTTTGTAATTTCTTAGATATTTTTGTGTTATGTCCATATAGCACATACATACATATATATGTATGTATGTATATAGGATTCTAGAAGCACACCTTAAAACACACTAGGGAGAAACCTAAAAACTAATGCAAATGTTACCTGGTCTGAGGTTGCAGAAGAATGGCATTTTAATGAATGCCCTCAGAGGCTGTGAACTCTGAGCTCACTCATTTCCTATTGGATTTCCGACATGGGTTGGGATTTCCCCACACGCCTATTGGATTTTCCCCACGTGCCTGAGATTCAGAGAAATGGAGGTCGTGAGTATTGACGCCAGAGAGACTATTTTCAATAAAGAGAGGCAGGCAAGGGGCTAGGCGTCAAGTAACTGGGACAACAACCAGGAATCCGTGAGTGTGGAGAACAAAGCAGCAGCAAGACGAACAGGTGTAGGGAGACACGGGTGCCAGGACAGGAGAATGGGACAGTCGGGTGTAGAACCCAGTAGAAAGCTAACATAGGAGTGAGAGGCAAGTGTGAGTGTGGGGACAGACATGGAGTGAGGGTGGAGGTGGAAGATTCTGGTGGGCTTGGTGAAGCTGCCCACTCTGCGTCACTGGTTAGCTTTCGGCTTAGGGCCTGCAAGCACCTGCCAGTCCCACACATTCAAGGCATCAGCCAGGGACTGAGTTCCCTCAGCCTCTTGGGTGTTCTGATGATGCTCTTTGCTGCCACTCGAGACTAAGGGAGAGTTTTGCTCCTTTGTGCAGTCATCCACAGCGAAGAATCTGAAGCGCTCACCCATGAAGACGAGCCCCCAGAAGCCTCCACTTCAACCGCGGGAGGTGAGCCTGGTAAGGAAGGGCCGGCAAGGCTTGGGCGGCGGGAGTCAGAATGCAGAGTCATGTTTCCCTAAGTGTTGGATTCTGGTCTATTGTCTACGATGGTTCCAGCCTATGCTGGGAATCCCATCATCTGCATTCATGCTACTCGACTCTTTTAGGAAATGCAGGGAATGAAAATTGCAAGAATTTATTCTTGAGGATTGGACCATGCTTTGGATGTATGTAGGGATAGGATAGCAAAATGATGCATTTGTCTTTAAGGTTCATTTCTATGTCTACAAGGTTTTGGATATATGCAGTGGTGTCTATGGAGGACAGAAAGCTAATATTCCCTGTGGGAAGGTCACATTGTCACCTGATCCAAAGCTTTGAACAGTGGCAGAAGAGAACTCACCAGCCAGCGGGTGGGAGCAGCAGTAGACAGCTCAAGCTCTCTGGACCCCAAGTTTTGTTTTTGACAGTTCTCCCGTGAGTCATGGCGTATACAGTGATTTGTCAAGAGATTTGCATAAATAATAGTTCCTTTTTCTCTTTGCACCAATTTTGGATGATAAGAGGCACGGACATTATCATCTTTATTTCCAAATGATAAAACCCAATCACGTAAGTGTCAGGCGGTCTTCCCTCACAGTTGCATAAGGGAGTAAAGACAAGGCTAGCGTCTCGGATTCTGTGTTTATTTGCTTTGCAAAACGAGCAACAGAAACGCTTGTGAGAATGTTGAGTTATCTCAGTCCTGTCTACAGCATGCGTTGGTGCCAGTTTTGTAATTTCTTAGATATTTTTGTGTTATGTCCATATAGCACATACATACATATATATGTATGTATGTATATAGGATTCTAGAAGCACACCTTAAAACACACTAGGGAGAAACCTAAAAACTAATGCAAATGTTACCTGGTCTGAGGTTGCAGAAGAATGGCATTTTAATGAATGCCCTCAGAGGCTGTGAACTCTGAGCTCACTCATTTCCTATTGGATTTCCGACATGGGTTGGGATTTCCCCACACGCCTATTGGATTTTCCCCACGTGCCTGAGATTCAGAGAAATGGAGGTCGTGAGTATTGACGCCAGAGAGACTATTTTCAATAAAGAGAGGCAGGCAAGGGGCTAGGCGTCAAGTAACTGGGACAACAACCAGGAATCCGTGAGTGTGGAGAACAAAGCAGCAGCAAGACGAACAGGTGTAGGGAGACACGGGTGCCAGGACAGGAGAATGGGACAGTCGGGTGTAGAACCCAGTAGAAAGCTAACATAGGAGTGAGAGGCAAGTGTGAGTGTGGGGACAGACATGGAGTGAGGGTGGAGGTGGAAGATTCTGGTGGGCTTGGTGAAGCTGCCCACTCTGCGTCACTGGTTAGCTTTCGGCTTAGGGCCTGCAAGCACCTGCCAGTCCCACACATTCAAGGCATCAGCCAGGGACTGAGTTCCCTCAGCCTCTTGGGTGTTCTGATGATGCTCTTTGCTGCCACTCGAGACTAAGGGAGAGTTTTGCTCCTTTGTGCAGTCATCCACAGCGAAGAATCTGAAGCGCTCACCCATGAAGACCAGCCCCCAGAAGCCTCCACTTCAACCGCGGGAGGTGAGCCTGGTAAGGAAGGGCCGGCAAGGCTTGGGCGGCGGGAGTCAGAATGCAGAGTCATGTTTCCCTAAGTGTTGGATTCTGGTCTATTGTCTACGATGGTTCCAGCCTATGCTGGGAATCCCATCATCTGCATTCATGCTACTCGACTCTTTTAGGAAATGCAGGGAATGAAAATTGCAAGAATTTATTCTTGAGGATTGGACCATGCTTTGGATGTATGTAGGGATAGGATAGCAAAATGATGCATTTGTCTTTAAGGTTCATTTCTATGTCTACAAGGTTTTGGATATATGCAGTGGTGTCTATGGAGGACAGAAAGCTAATATTCCCTGTGGGAAGGTCACATTGTCACCTGATCCAAAGCTTTGAACAGTGGCAGAAGAGAACTCACCAGCCAGCGGGTGGGAGCAGCAGTAGACAGCTCAAGCTCTCTGGACCCCAAGTTTTGTTTTTGACAGTTCTCCCGTGAGTCATGGCGTATACAGTGATTTGTCAAGAGATTTGCATAAATAATAGTTCCTTTTTCTCTTTGCACCAATTTTGGATGATAAGAGGCACGGACATTATCATCTTTATTTCCAAATGATAAAACCCAATCACGTAAGTGTCAGGCGGTCTTCCCTCACAGTTGCATAAGGGAGTAAAGACAAGGCTAGCGTCTCGGATTCTGTGTTTATTTGCTTTGCAAAACGAGCAACAGAAACGCTTGTGAGAATGTTGAGTTATCTCAGTCCTGTCTACAGCATGCGTTGGTGCCAGTTTTGTAATTTCTTAGATATTTTTGTGTTATGTCCATATAGCACATACATACATATATATGTATGTATGTATATAGGATTCTAGAAGCACACCTTAAAACACACTAGGGAGAAACCTAAAAACTAATGCAAATGTTACCTGGTCTGAGGTTGCAGAAGAATGGCATTTTAATGAATGCCCTCAGAGGCTGTGAACTCTGAGCTCACTCATTTCCTATTGGATTTCCGACATGGGTTGGGATTTCCCCACACGCCTATTGGATTTTCCCCACGTGCCTGAGATTCAGAGAAATGGAGGTCGTGAGTATTGACGCCAGAGAGACTATTTTCAATAAAGAGAGGCAGGCAAGGGGCTAGGCGTCAAGTAACTGGGACAACAACCAGGAATCCGTGAGTGTGGAGAACAAAGCAGCAGCAAGACGAACAGGTGTAGGGAGACACGGGTGCCAGGACAGGAGAATGGGACAGTCGGGTGTAGAACCCAGTAGAAAGCTAACATAGGAGTGAGAGGCAAGTGTGAGTGTGGGGACAGACATGGAGTGAGGGTGGAGGTGGAAGATTCTGGTGGGCTTGGTGAAGCTGCCCACTCTGCGTCACTGGTTAGCTTTCGGCTTAGGGCCTGCAAGCACCTGCCAGTCCCACACATTCAAGGCATCAGCCAGGGACTGAGTTCCCTCAGCCTCTTGGGTGTTCTGATGATGCTCTTTGCTGCCACTCGAGACTAAGGGAGAGTTTTGCTCCTTTGTGCAGTCATCCACAGCGAAGAATCTGAAGCGCTCACCCATGAAGACGAGCCCCCAGAAGCCTCCACTTCAACCGCGGGAGGTGAGCCTGGTAAGGAAGGGCCGGCAAGGCTTGGGCGGCGGGAGTCAGAATGCAGAGTCATGTTTCCCTAAGTGTTGGATTCTGGTCTATTGTCTACGATGGTTCCAGCCTATGCTGGGAATCCCATCATCTGCATTCATGCTACTCGACTCTTTTAGGAAATGCAGGGAATGAAAATTGCAAGAATTTATTCTTGAGGATTGGACCATGCTTTGGATGTATGTAGGGATAGGATAGCAAAATGATGCATTTGTCTTTAAGGTTCATTTCTATGTCTACAAGGTTTTGGATATATGCAGTGGTGTCTATGGAGGACAGAAAGCTAATATTCCCTGTGGGAAGGTCACATTGTCACCTGATCCAAAGCTTTGAACAGTGGCAGAAGAGAACTCACCAGCCAGCGGGTGGGAGCAGCAGTAGACAGCTCAAGCTCTCTGGACCCCAAGTTTTGTTTTTGACAGTTCTCCCGTGAGTCATGGCGTATACAGTGATTTGTCAAGAGATTTGCATAAATAATAGTTCCTTTTTCTCTTTGCACCAATTTTGGATGATAAGAGGCACGGACATTATCATCTTTATTTCCAAATGATAAAACCCAATCACGTAAGTGTCAGGCGGTCTTCCCTCACAGTTGCATAAGGGAGTAAAGACAAGGCTAGCGTCTCGGATTCTGTGTTTATTTGCTTTGCAAAACGAGCAACAGAAACGCTTGTGAGAATGTTGAGTTATCTCAGTCCTGTCTACAGCATGCGTTGGTGCCAGTTTTGTAATTTCTTAGATATTTTTGTGTTATGTCCATATAGCACATACATACATATATATGTATGTATGTATATAGGATTCTAGAAGCACACCTTAAAACACACTAGGGAGAAACCTAAAAACTAATGCAAATGTTACCTGGTCTGAGGTTGCAGAAGAATGGCATTTTAATGAATGCCCTCAGAGGCTGTGAACTCTGAGCTCACTCATTTCCTATTGGATTTCCGACATGGGTTGGGATTTCCCCACACGCCTATTGGATTTTCCCCACGTGCCTGAGATTCAGAGAAATGGAGGTCGTGAGTATTGACGCCAGAGAGACTATTTTCAATAAAGAGAGGCAGGCAAGGGGCTAGGCGTCAAGTAACTGGGACAACAACCAGGAATCCGTGAGTGTGGAGAACAAAGCAGCAGCAAGACGAACAGGTGTAGGGAGACACGGGTGCCAGGACAGGAGAATGGGACAGTCGGGTGTAGAACCCAGTAGAAAGCTAACATAGGAGTGAGAGGCAAGTGTGAGTGTGGGGACAGACATGGAGTGAGGGTGGAGGTGGAAGATTCTGGTGGGCTTGGTGAAGCTGCCCACTCTGCGTCACTGGTTAGCTTTCGGCTTAGGGCCTGCAAGCACCTGCCAGTCCCACACATTCAAGGCATCAGCCAGGGACTGAGTTCCCTCAGCCTCTTGGGTGTTCTGATGATGCTCTTTGCTGCCACTCGAGACTAAGGGAGAGTTTTGCTCCTTTGTGCAGTCATCCACAGCGAAGAATCTGAAGCGCTCACCCATGAAGACGAGCCCCCAGAAGCCTCCACTTCAACCGCGGGAGGTGAGCCTGGTAAGGAAGGGCCGGCAAGGCTTGGGCGGCGGGAGTCAGAATGCAGAGTCATGTTTCCCTAAGTGTTGGATTCTGGTCTATTGTCTACGATGGTTCCAGCCTATGCTGGGAATCCCATCATCTGCATTCATGCTACTCGACTCTTTTAGGAAATGCAGGGAATGAAAATTGCAAGAATTTATTCTTGAGGATTGGACCATGCTTTGGATGTATGTAGGGATAGGATAGCAAAATGATGCATTTGTCTTTAAGGTTCATTTCTATGTCTACAAGGTTTTGGATATATGCAGTGGTGTCTATGGAGGACAGAAAGCTAATATTCCCTGTGGGAAGGTCACATTGTCACCTGATCCAAAGCTTTGAACAGTGGCAGAAGAGAACTCACCAGCCAGCGGGTGGGAGCAGCAGTAGACAGCTCAAGCTCTCTGGACCCCAAGTTTTGTTTTTGACAGTTCTCCCGTGAGTCATGGCGTATACAGTGATTTGTCAAGAGATTTGCATAAATAATAGTTCCTTTTTCTCTTTGCACCAATTTTGGATGATAAGAGGCACGGACATTATCATCTTTATTTCCAAATGATAAAACCCAATCACGTAAGTGTCAGGCGGTCTTCCCTCACAGTTGCATAAGGGAGTAAAGACAAGGCTAGCGTCTCGGATTCTGTGTTTATTTGCTTTGCAAAACGAGCAACAGAAACGCTTGTGAGAATGTTGAGTTATCTCAGTCCTGTCTACAGCATGCGTTGGTGCCAGTTTTGTAATTTCTTAGATATTTTTGTGTTATGTCCATATAGCACATACATACATATATATGTATGTATGTATATAGGATTCTAGAAGCACACCTTAAAACACACTAGGGAGAAACCTAAAAACTAATGCAAATGTTACCTGGTCTGAGGTTGCAGAAGAATGGCATTTTAATGAATGCCCTCAGAGGCTGTGAACTCTGAGCTCACTCATTTCCTATTGGATTTCCGACATGGGTTGGGATTTCCCCACACGCCTATTGGATTTTCCCCACGTGCCTGAGATTCAGAGAAATGGAGGTCGTGAGTATTGACGCCAGAGAGACTATTTTCAATAAAGAGAGGCAGGCAAGGGGCTAGGCGTCAAGTAACTGGGACAACAACCAGGAATCCGTGAGTGTGGAGAACAAAGCAGCAGCAAGACGAACAGGTGTAGGGAGACACGGGTGCCAGGACAGGAGAATGGGACAGTCGGGTGTAGAACCCAGTAGAAAGCTAACATAGGAGTGAGAGGCAAGTGTGAGTGTGGGGACAGACATGGAGTGAGGGTGGAGGTGGAAGATTCTGGTGGGCTTGGTGAAGCTGCCCACTCTGCGTCACTGGTTAGCTTTCGGCTTAGGGCCTGCAAGCACCTGCCAGTCCCACACATTCAAGGCATCAGCCAGGGACTGAGTTCCCTCAGCCTCTTGGGTGTTCTGATGATGCTCTTTGCTGCCACTCGAGACTAAGGGAGAGTTTTGCTCCTTTGTGCAGTCATCCACAGCGAAGAATCTGAAGCGCTCACCCATGAAGACGAGCCCCCAGAAGCCTCCACTTCAACCGCGGGAGGTGAGCCTGGTAAGGAAGGGCCGGCAAGGCTTGGGCGGCGGGAGTCAGAATGCAGAGTCATGTTTCCCTAAGTGTTGGATTCTGGTCTATTGTCTACGATGGTTCCAGCCTATGCTGGGAATCCCATCATCTGCATTCATGCTACTCGACTCTTTTAGGAAATGCAGGGAATGAAAATTGCAAGAATTTATTCTTGAGGATTGGACCATGCTTTGGATGTATGTAGGGATAGGATAGCAAAATGATGCATTTGTCTTTAAGGTTCATTTCTATGTCTACAAGGTTTTGGATATATGCAGTGGTGTCTATGGAGGACAGAAAGCTAATATTCCCTGTGGGAAGGTCACATTGTCACCTGATCCAAAGCTTTGAACAGTGGCAGAAGAGAACTCACCAGCCAGCGGGTGGGAGCAGCAGTAGACAGCTCAAGCTCTCTGGACCCCAAGTTTTGTTTTTGACAGTTCTCCCGTGAGTCATGGCGTATACAGTGATTTGTCAAGAGATTTGCATAAATAATAGTTCCTTTTTCTCTTTGCACCAATTTTGGATGATAAGAGGCACGGACATTATCATCTTTATTTCCAAATGATAAAACCCAATCACGTAAGTGTCAGGCGGTCTTCCCTCACAGTTGCATAAGGGAGTAAAGACAAGGCTAGCGTCTCGGATTCTGTGTTTATTTGCTTTGCAAAACGAGCAACAGAAACGCTTGTGAGAATGTTGAGTTATCTCAGTCCTGTCTACAGCATGCGTTGGTGCCAGTTTTGTAATTTCTTAGATATTTTTGTGTTATGTCCATATAGCACATACATACATATATATGTATGTATGTATATAGGATTCTAGAAGCACACCTTAAAACACACTAGGGAGAAACCTAAAAACTAATGCAAATGTTACCTGGTCTGAGGTTGCAGAAGAATGGCATTTTAATGAATGCCCTCAGAGGCTGTGAACTCTGAGCTCACTCATTTCCTATTGGATTTCCGACATGGGTTGGGATTTCCCCACACGCCTATTGGATTTTCCCCACGTGCCTGAGATTCAGAGAAATGGAGGTCGTGAGTATTGACGCCAGAGAGACTATTTTCAATAAAGAGAGGCAGGCAAGGGGCTAGGCGTCAAGTAACTGGGACAACAACCAGGAATCCGTGAGTGTGGAGAACAAAGCAGCAGCAAGACGAACAGGTGTAGGGAGACACGGGTGCCAGGACAGGAGAATGGGACAGTCGGGTGTAGAACCCAGTAGAAAGCTAACATAGGAGTGAGAGGCAAGTGTGAGTGTGGGGACAGACATGGAGTGAGGGTGGAGGTGGAAGATTCTGGTGGGCTTGGTGAAGCTGCCCACTCTGCGTCACTGGTTAGCTTTCGGCTTAGGGCCTGCAAGCACCTGCCAGTCCCACACATTCAAGGCATCAGCCAGGGACTGAGTTCCCTCAGCCTCTTGGGTGTTCTGATGATGCTCTTTGCTGCCACTCGAGACTAAGGGAGAGTTTTGCTCCTTTGTGCAGTCATCCACAGCGAAGAATCTGAAGCGCTCACCCATGAAGACGAGCCCCCAGAAGCCTCCACTTCAACCGCGGGAGGTGAGCCTGGTAAGGAAGGGCCGGCAAGGCTTGGGCGGCGGGAGTCAGAATGCAGAGTCATGTTTCCCTAAGTGTTGGATTCTGGTCTATTGTCTACGATGGTTCCAGCCTATGCTGGGAATCCCATCATCTGCATTCATGCTACTCGACTCTTTTAGGAAATGCAGGGAATGAAAATTGCAAGAATTTATTCTTGAGGATTGGACCATGCTTTGGATGTATGTAGGGATAGGATAGCAAAATGATGCATTTGTCTTTAAGGTTCATTTCTATGTCTACAAGGTTTTGGATATATGCAGTGGTGTCTATGGAGGACAGAAAGCTAATATTCCCTGTGGGAAGGTCACATTGTCACCTGATCCAAAGCTTTGAACAGTGGCAGAAGAGAACTCACCAGCCAGCGGGTGGGAGCAGCAGTAGACAGCTCAAGCTCTCTGGACCCCAAGTTTTGTTTTTGACAGTTCTCCCGTGAGTCATGGCGTATACAGTGATTTGTCAAGAGATTTGCATAAATAATAGTTCCTTTTTCTCTTTGCACCAATTTTGGATGATAAGAGGCACGGACATTATCATCTTTATTTCCAAATGATAAAACCCAATCACGTAAGTGTCAGGCGGTCTTCCCTCACAGTTGCATAAGGGAGTAAAGACAAGGCTAGCGTCTCGGATTCTGTGTTTATTTGCTTTGCAAAACGAGCAACAGAAACGCTTGTGAGAATGTTGAGTTATCTCAGTCCTGTCTACAGCATGCGTTGGTGCCAGTTTTGTAATTTCTTAGATATTTTTGTGTTATGTCCATATAGCACATACATACATAT